AACATCTGGTGAAAATTTCATGTCATTAGCACCTCTAGTAAAATATTTACTGAGAAAAATGGTGACGTGTTCAATACTTATTTTACCCGCTGTACCCTTAAAATCACGTCAGACTTTCTTCATGGCAGCTGGTTCCATTTAAATTGGTTGTTTAAATCTAATAATTATTATTTATTTGAAACGTTGTCCTCACTATTTATACCTCATTGAATGGGTTCAAAAGTCTTCTGCCTCCCAAACATGTAATAAAATAGCACAACAATTATTTCTGAGTTTATTTTAAGCAAAGTGGATAAGTTAGACAACTAACTGTATTTAGTCACTTTATTAGATTATATTATTGCTCTGAATATGAATAAAAACAATACATTCAATATACATTGTGTGGTTCACACAGAGACAGGTTTTAAATAGACAAAGTGGTTTTCATGTACAAATTGCGCATAAAGATAAGACTTGGTATGCAATAATGTTACGTTTGGACAGCTCAAAGGTGGAACATTCTGTAGTAAAATGTTTAAAACTCAAAAAAATGTATTTGATTTTTAACCATTAAGTATCAAAATGTTTGTTCAACAACGTAAACTTTCTGTGATCTGTTTAAACTTTCCACTAAAAAGTTTGAGTTTCGAGCTTACTTGCCTAAAATCTTGGTATGTGGATTAAGTAAAATTTGTCATTGTCGTACAATTTACTGCAACAAAAAGCTTGACTGATGGACCTTTTGTATGAGTTTTTCCAAAACTACACGAGAAGCTAATCAGTAAATGTTGTTGAAACAGAAGAATAGATCAGGAGTAAGAGAAGGGTAAAAGTAAAAATGCACATCTTTCAATCATGTGTTCACTTTAAAATAACAACTGTAAATGTAACAAAGGTTTAATTCCTAAACTTTTTTAGTATTTTTAATTAGAAAACCTGAAGTCAAAAAGTAGAGTGTGTTTTCTGTTCATTTAAAACATCATAAATGTGTTTTTGGATATAAATACACTGACAAAAACTGAATCGGTGTCAAATACTTTTAAATCTCTATTTTATTTAGAACATACATTTCAATAATATATGTGACACAAATGAATTTTTTCATTTTTATTGTTATTTTTCCCCAGGTTTCAGCACATTCATAATTTCTGAACACTCAAAGATTCTCCTAAAAAATGAAACAATTCAAGTAAGTTTAGTTTTAAGTAGCAGACAGATAAAATGTTGGATGTGAGCTGGTTTCCACCTCAGCTGTGTGCACAGGTTGGATGGTGTTGGATCACTCGCATGAGCTTCATCTGGTCTTGGGAGTGGGCCTGGGGGGCCGGCTGGGCTGGTTGGGTCCGATGTATTTCAGTGGGGAGTACTTTGGCTTCTCAATCACTTCCAGGCCCAAATAAGGCTGCAGGGCTCGGGGAACACGCACCGTTCCATCCTGGGGACGCAGAGAGACAGGAAGTCCATCTGGTTTTAAAAGAACTTGAGAACAAAAAAAATCCAGCAGCCCTGTGTTTGTGTGCACAGTTGGTTTCTTACTTTGGTCTGGTGAGTTTCCAGGATGGCGACAATGGTTCGAGGGATTGCACATGCAGTAGCGTTTACCTACACAGAGGGAAAACCTTGTTATGGAGGCAACGCGCTGCTGTTATGTAAAGCTGCAGAACGTACAGCATCTGGATGCTTACTGTGTGGGCGTACTGCAGGCTGCCGTCCTCCCTCTCATACAGGATGTTCAGACGTCTGCTCTGATAATCTGTACAGTTGGATGCACTGGAGATCTGACACAGAGGAAAAAAAACAAAAACATGATTTGTTGTCTTTTATCTAAAGGGGAGAGACTGACTGTTTGTCACTGAGAAGATCATTGGTTTATATTAAAGGGGACCTATTATGCAAAATTCACTTTTTAAAGGTTTTTTTACTCAACTTTGGGTATATACAGTACTTCTTAAAAAAACAGTCCTAGGACCAAAAAAATGCACCCAGGGGCATATTAACTGTAAGAAAATGTATTTTTAATGTATATTAACGACAAGTTTTATACTTCCGTCATTTTGTGATGTCACAAGCTGTACAACAACCCACCAGAACCTGTGTTCAGCCCCTTATCTAGTAACCCCCGGGTGAGACTCCACCTCCTCAGTATAAGAAGCAGTCACGGTTGTTGTTGTGTAATGCGCAGCTCATTACACAACAAGCCTCCAATAGGGCAATGGGTAGAGTGTTGGACCGGAGAGTGGGAGACCAGGGTTTGAGACCAGCACGGATGCAATTTAATTATTTATTTTCATTCGTTACGAACACGTTTTCTCATGTACCTCTATTGTTTAGCTTATTGTTAAAGCCTATTTGTTTGAGTTTCTGAGGTATTTTGACCGCTGCTGCTCCCTGCTCTGGTAACAGCATGCAGAGTGAGCGCAGAGCAGAGGAGGGAGAGAAAAAACAAAAAAACTGAGACCACGACTCTGCCTCTGGGTCTCATATGGTTTGTACAACGGAGCTTCTGCTATTGTTAGGCATGCTAAAGTAAACGCTGGCTTTGGAGGGCGGAGTTAATGTCAAGGGCGTTACCAACAGAGCTCATTAACATAAACAGCTCTTCTGAACTGAAGTCAGAGCAGGCAGAACTAGAAAATGGGAAATTTTATTATCTGAGAATTATTTTGTGCATTAAATTGAATGAACATGGTCTGGATAGCCCACAGACATACCATAAAAATTTCTAGGGCCCATAATTGGTCTCCTTTAATGATTGTTTTATGTGTTGCACAGAAATAAGATGACAAACAGAGGCTGACCTCTCCATAGCTGCCCCTCCCTGGCATCCACGCTTCAATGTCATACTTCCTGTATGCTGAAAGACCCAGCTCCTGAGTCGGCATGTCCAGCACTCTGAAAGAAATCCGCCAGAATAAACCTGTTCAAACGTAAACGTCATGACGGAGCCTGACAACTTGCCCAAAAATAATAAAGAGTATTTCGGACGTACATTTGTGTAAACAAGAAACAAATGGAGAGGTTTTCATTGTGCCTTTTTCTTGCTTATAATCACCACATCTTATGGTGGTTCATATTTTTTAAGACTCTGAATTAACATGATTAATTTTTCTTCTCAACTAAAATCCCTAAACTTGAAATTAATTTTATTTTTTTACTGGTCTACCATGTAGCATTCCTGAGTGCTAGGTGGTACCAGAGGAAAGACACGTGAAGGTATAATGTCACAAGTTTTATACAGTAACCCCAAGCTTTTAGAGCAGGTTAGACCAGCGTTTTATAAAGACGGAGCTGTCTGAAATGCATCAGGAATGGACTACAACACATTACTTTAAAAACACACACAACTAATTATAGTGTTCAAATATCTGATACTAATAAACACGTTGATCTAAATTCCACTGACTAAATGCCAGGCTGAAAACGTGTGAAATTAAAAGCATTAGTTTTGTTAAATCACATTGAGGAGCCATGTGTAGACACTACATCTGTAATGGATCAAACGTTTAAAACAAAAAGAAAAAAAGTAATTTTGTTCTGTCTGACCTATAATGTAGTTCCAGGGCAGAAAACATCTGTTTTTGCAAAGAGACAAACTCCTCAAACAGCTGAGTGCTCTCCTGTCCCGTCTCATCTGCTGTCACTGCAAACATCTCCACCTGCAGCACAGATACCGACAGTTTTATTGTCAGGTTACAACGCTGCACATGTGTGTGTGTTTGGTGTGATGTCTTCAGTTGGACCTTATTGAAGTGATGAACTCTGTAAAGCCCCCACACCTCTCTCCTGTTGTCGGTCTCTGCTCTGTAGCAGGTGCTGCAGCACACAGTCCTGCGGAAACAAACACCACTGAGTGTCAGAATCACTGCCACAACACCTTCAATCTGCTGCCAACGAGGAGGGAGGAGAGCTTCCAACCTAACGGGCAGGTCCTTCCAGTTCGCTGCATGGTCCATGAAAAAACCTGGAGGGATAAATCCCAACATGCTGGCCTCAAACGGTAAACAACAGAGTACTTTGATAAGGTGCAGACAGTGACACATGACCTCAAACAGCCGTGCAATGTGAACTAATGGCAGCTGTGGTGCTGTTGCATCCATGTGATGCTCAGTTCTATTAAATTCCTCTACACAACAGCTGAAACACTCCATTGATGTGCAGCGACTCATTTATTCTAAAGCCCCCCGTATGTCTGACCATTTAACCCTTTCATTATTTCTGCAGGTGTACTCTGACACCCATCGCTAACCTTATTTAGGAGCATCTCTGGCTCACATTGGGCCTCATGCAAGAACCGTTCGTACGCACAGATTTGTTCTCAAGTTGTGCGTACGAGTGATTTAGGAGAATTTGTGGCATTCAACAATTTTCTCATAAGATTTTTTTCAGATATGAACAAAATTCACGAGTGGTCCAGACCTGTCGTATATTTTACGAGCAGTCAGTCTGCTGTTATCCAGATGGGTTTTCTTCACTAATAACTTTGTTTCATTAGTTTGAAGATATTTCTAGTAGAAAATAAATCACACTCCATAATTATGTTGACAATAGGCTATTCTGTTTGAATTAGAATTTTAAATGTAGTAATGTAGACTAACAACATAAATTGGTTAAATTAAATTGGCTATTAATGTTGTATAGCACTACAATATTAATATGAAAATCTCAAACTACAAACTAATTTAAATTATGATGTTAATTTAAGTTTGGAGACATTTTAAAATGATTTTTTTTTCAGAAACATATCTGATACTTGCGACGGCACAGTTGTTTACACTTAAATTAAAAATATTTGACCAAAGGAAAACCGAAGCAGGACTAGAGAGAGATAAATATGATTTATATTTTTATTTCTGTGACTTTACGACACACAGGAGACCCGACATTAACAGTCGTCATTTCATTCCTTGGCTTTAGCAGGTCTGGTGCTGCTTTTCTGGATCTCTGAGAGCAGGACTTCAATCTCTGAAATCGTAAAGTTCTTATTTTTTACTTTGTGATGTCATTTATGAATGGACACTTCCTGGTATGTGGGGCAGGAAACGTTACCTTATATGGTGTTTTTGGGATGGTAATAGCTGGGTTTCAGTCACGTGGTTTCGAAGGCGGAGCGATCTCCACTGGAGGGCAGGGGGCAAAATGTCTATGGAGGAAACTACTGTAGAGAGTTTATATTGTATGGATTTAGATCCTAATGAATAATTCCACACGATTCTGCCCAACCCTATGACAACATATGATAACACTGATTATCACACAAAGATGAAAAATGTAGAAAGCTCACAGAACGACAACGTAAAAAGTGGATTTTAAACCATCTGCAGTCAGGAGGAGCAGAATACTGGTGTCTGCAGGCAGCGAACACTAATCAGAGGTAGGTTAGCTGCTAACTTGTTTTAGAGGTTATTTTTATAATGATCGTTTATTTAGTAGTGAGGATTAAGTTACTGGTAGTTTAATGTGGACATCATCTGGACTTTAGGCTGCCTTAGTTCTGTGTCGTTAGATGCTGGAAGTTTGTTGAAGTTAGCCGCTACTGCTAGCATTATCTTAACAAATAAAATATCAGAATAAACACTCACCCTGGCTAAAAACAAACAATAATCATTGTGGAGCTGTTTGGTACCGAGGTTGTGGATCCACCTGCTGAATAAAAAGTTCTACACCTCCTGTTGATTACAGGCTTTCATCAGCTGTTCGGTGTAGTTAGCATCCAGTTAGCGCCGCACCGTCTGCCCCGGCAGACCGGTAACGGGACCGTAGAGTCCGCTCGGTGCTCGCTCTTCTTCTCTTCCCTCTTATAATCGAAATAGTGAATCACCTACTTCCTCATCAAAGTCCTCACTCTGTCTCCGACTGTTTTTCCTCCATCTCTGCCTTTGAGCTCCTCTCTCAAACTGCGGCTCGATCCGACTTAATTCACCTGACCGCAGCTGGACTGGAGCTCCACGTTCATCACCTTTTTTTTTTGCATCAAAGACACTAAAATAACTAACTAAACTTCACCGTAACTATGAAATATAGTTATACAAATATAATAAATGTAATAGATTTCAGCTATCTCATTGCTGACTTCCGATTTCGCTGTCTCTCCATCGCAGCCGAACTTTATTCAACTTCTGCCTCTTTTTATTTTTATCCTCCTGCAGATTTTTTGCCGCTTGTCTAATATTTTCAGGCTTCAGTCAGAAAGGAGTTTGGGGGGTTTAGGTTTGTTCGGCGGGGTGGGGGTGACACCAGAGGGTGGAATGAGGTGATTTTCCCCCATGAATCAGCCCTATTTTACATCCTCCTGCTGCAACGTGCTTCAAATATGACGAACATTAATAAAAAGAGCCATAATTTTATTTTATATATAATTTAATCAGTGTATAATTATTTATTATTAATTCAGTTAGAATGATTGGAGCACTCGTAAACTACACAAGATATGGGCATTTTTTCAGATAGCAGATCCTCCACTTCCTGACCTCCATCTGAACTTCGCGCTTCCAGTGGCACTGCATCGTGACGTCACGTGAAACCCTCCTATTATGCTAATCTCCTCTCCTTGTGCGCGAGCACCTGATACACATTCATCAGTTTACGCAGCTCACTTACACACTTTTCCTGCAAATACAAGAGTTTGTTGAATTTGATGTGGCATGTTCGTACGAACCCTTCGTACGAACAAAAGCAAGAGAAATTTAGGATAAGAATATGAACATGTTCTTGCATGAGACCCAATATTTTAAAAATCCCATTTCTCTGTATCTACACACCCACAACATATGTTCATCCATGTATATAGTCCAGTCCTACCTGCCACACCGACTTCTCCAGTTCCAGCCAGGTTCAGATCTGGAAATCGTTCTGGGTTCAAAGAGTAGAGCATAGAATGACATGCGTCAGGCCGCATCCCACAGCCCTCCTGGAGAAGGATGGGGAAAAAAAACAAAGAATTTTAAAAGAGAGCTTTACATTTACTCAATTAAGAGCTGTGACGAAAACCATTTCCTGTTGAAGAACACTCTAAAACACAGAACTTGAACTTTTATTAGGATTTTACAGTTGTAATAAAAGAAACTTGGACAAAGTGTGAAGCTGTGTGTTAACAAGAGAACATTAACATCCTGATAGTTATAGATACTCATCTCTGGTATTATGAGCTGTTAACCATGATTAGATTTAATGTTTAATCCATGATCATTAGAATCACACTGCAGTCGTGAGCTTATGAACAGATCTGATGCTTACAAACACTGCTCCCTTCAGCATGTCAGGCACAACCATGGGGATGAAGCCCTGCAGCGGTGAAAAGGAAAACAGCACTGTAACTCCTAATCATGTTTAAAGATAATAATCTTCATTTAGTAAAAACAATTGTAGCTGAGCAGTACCCGTCGCTGCACTGTGTCCAGGGCAAAGTTCGTGAGAGCCGTTTGAAGCTTGGCCCCCGCTCCTCGTAAATAGTACGACCGGTGGCCGGTGACATGAGCCAGATGCCTGCAGCAGAGGACAAACTCAATGTCACGTAGGATCTATTACGTGTTCAACAACCGTTCTGAAACAGCTGGGAAGTTGTGTAAAATGTAAATAAAACCAAAATACAATGATGTGTAAATCTCATAAACCCAATGGGAAATATTTGAACATCACAGCATCTACTGTTTCCTAATCTCTTCTAAAGATTTCAAGAATTCGGAGAAATCTTCAGAAGGTGGTCTCTGCAGTCACTATGTAGAAGTTTCTAATTTTGTGGGCGCCCAACCTCCCACCCCTCTTACTACTGGGTCATCTGAGTCTGTTCCTGAGTTTTCAGAGTTTCATGAGTTGGTGGTCTCAGTCCCAGTTCCTGAGTTGGGGGTCCCAGTGTCTCCTGAGTTGGCGATCCTTGAGGTTTGTGGGTCGGCTGCCGGTGCCTCCACGACATCTGGGTTGGCTGTCATTGCCTCCTAGTTGCCCATAGCCTCCTCTTTGCCTCTGTCGCCTGTGTTTGCCCTGCTGGCTCCGTCAACCTCCGCCAGATTCTCGTCTGCTCCTGCCTCCTCCCTTGGCTCTACGTCTGCTCCCGCGACTCCCTTGGACCTGGGGTGTTCTCTGGGCCGCCCTCCAGATCCTCTGCCCCATGTTGAGTGGTCTTCGGGCCGTCCTCCTGAACATTGTGTCTTTTGTCTTTGAGTCTGTCCTGTCTTGTGTTCCGAGTCCCATGCTTCTCCTTTTTCGAAGTCAGGAGCTGTCGTTGAGGGGGAGGTCCTGTCACAGTCTGTGTCAGTTTTCTTGGTTTTTCTAGTGTTTCAGTGTTCCCGTGTTTCTCTGCCATACAGCCCCGCCTATGCTCACCTGTTTCCTCTTGTGTCTCCTCCAGGTGATTTTCATTTGTCCTCATAAGTTTCCCTTTATATTTGGTGTCTTGTCCTCAGTCTGTGTCTGATCATTGTACTGTTTTCACAGTCAGTGTGGTTGTCCTCTGTGTTCCTTGTGCCTATTGCTACCCGAGAATTCTTATGTTTTTTGCTGCTCCAGCAGCCCACCTTTGTTTACTAAATTCTTTATTTTTGAACTTTGGATTTTTTGCCTGCACCCTGGGTCATTCTGCCTGCACAACCTCACAGATGTTGGGGTTTGAAGGAGCTGGGGGCAGCGAGGAGTAGCTTGGTGGATTCGGGCAGGAAGCACCTATGTTCTTTTAAGATTAATTTGAGACAGGAAGGTGCTTGCTGCATGAAATTTGAAGTCAATAAATTATGTTTACATGTTCACAATCATTTTTATTTCAGTCATTGTTCTGTTTTAAACTGTACATAGAGCCAATAAATCATAAGCTGCGTTTCTATTGCAAATGCGCACAAAACTATCGATATTCTGATTAATGTTGAAAAAACACAGTTTTGCAATTGCAGTGTTTCCATTAAATAAGAAACGCTATTAAAATCACTCGAGAATACGTTCGTTCTCGTGATAAGCCATTACAAACATGGCGGCAATGGATGTAAACACATGCTACCATGGCACTAGCGCGCATCATCAGAGGAGACGTTGGCGTCTTATCGAGGCTTTTGAGCGACAAGCCCTTTATACTTGGGAGTGGCTACATGTGCTGTGTTTTTACTACTTTCTTTTCCTACTTCTGTGATTTTACTACTACTTCCTGTTGTCTTCTTTGTCGTCTTTTTTGCCAGTAGAAGCAGCCAGTTGTTGATCACGTGAGTCCCATGAGGCGAAAATGTGTTTCCATTGCAGTTTTGTGAAATACACCAATTTTGATACGGCCGGAAAAAAAAACTTATCCTAGCGCAAAAACATTTTGTCGAAAAAATAAAGGTTTTTCAAATTTGACGTGTTTCCATTGAGCAAATTTATTTTCAAAATTCTAATTTGCACATTTTCATTGTCAATGAAAAGGCAGCTATTGTTTTACTATTATCATTACTTCCTCTTTTAAGTTGCCTCACAAGACAATCTGACCAATCATGTTAGGGAAAACTCTGGCCATACACCAACTCGGCCAATCACAATTAAGAGTCAATTACGCCCACAATAAAGGCCATCTCTGCCCACATCAAGACCTCCGCCAATCATGGATAGGGCCATCTCCGCCCACAGGACAACATGTACTAGAGACCCCTACTTGGAAATCTCTGAGCTCAAAGGACAAGACAGAGAGACCATGTTGCCTGAGATCTTCAGGTTCTGCATTAAAAGCAGGTCTGGTTCTGTTCTGGGCATTACTATATGGACTCGGGAACACTTCCACCAATCAACAAATCTCACCATGTCATCGACATATGTTGGTTTAATGTTGTTGTGTGAAGAAGAAGCCATGTGTGAACACCATTCAGAAACAACACCACCTTTTGCTTAAAATGAACTTCAGCAAAGATGAAAACTGTTCTGTGGTCAGAAGAAACCAAACTTTAAATTCTTTTTGGAAACCACAGACAACACATCCTCCATATCAAAGAGCATTTAGTCTATTATCAGAGATCAGTTCAGTTCGTCTGCCTCTCTGATTGTATGGGGAATGCATTAATGCATATGGCAGGGGCAGCTTACACACATGGAAAGTCATCAACGCAGAAAAGTATTTGCAGGTTTTAGAACATCCAGACAGTGATTTTTTTCAAGGAAGGTTTTGTATTTTTAAGTAATCCAAACACTGCAGTTATTATGAAAGCATGGCTTCATAAAGGAAGAGTCCAGATTCTGAACTGACCCACCTGCAGTCCAGACCTCTCACCAATTGAAAACATTTGGCACATAAAACAAATGAAATCCAGCAAAAAACAAGGGTTATTGAACACCTAGGATCCTACATTAGACAAAACTGCAGTTTATTGCATTTTAATTTATTTATATTTTTGCACATCCCAACTTTATCTTGAATTTGGATTGTAGAAATATTTGGCACATTGTAAAGTCAAGTCCACCCACCTCTGCCTAATGATGCCCAACTCCTCCCCAAGCTCCACGTGGCTTCTGGGCTCAAAATCAAACTCTGCAAATAAGATAAAGCAAATTTTCACGTAAAAAAAAAGAACAAAAATATGTGAGATTTAAGCGTAACAAGCTAGTTCAAGCTAGTCACCTGGTTTCTGTCCAACAAGCTCCACCACTCTTGCCTGGCTCTCATCTCCAACTGGCTGCACAAAAAAAAAGCAACTTAACCTCCCAGAACTGGGCTGGATAGAAAACCTCCTTCAGAAAGCTTGCGTCCTCACCACATCAGGGTGTGTGGTGTTGGGCAGTCTGAGCGCTTGGCAGTAGTGCTCCTTGTCCAGTTCAGCCTCTTTGGCGTAGAGCTGATTCAGTTTGATGCGGACCTCCCGGCCCTTCTGCAAAGACTGAGTGTACTCCGGAAGCTGCAGAGCCAAAAGAACTTCTCAGACAGAAAACACTCATCACATGCATATATTTCAACTTTTTAATGATAAAAGAAATAATTAAAGGTTAACACTTTTTTGTAGATCATCATATTTGCAGCCATTTTAGCCAAAACTAAAAATTAAGATTGTGTTTGATGCTCAAAGTCTGTGTTGTAAATGACTCTCAGCTACTACCACAACAAACTATTGCTCAATATCTGTAAAACTGATCGAGCTTTAACCATTTTAATGTTGGCTGATTTTGATTTGCTGTGGTTGTCATTTTGTCTTGGATTAAACCCTAAAGTTAGCTGTAGATGGCAGGCCATTTTAACATAAAATCAGCTTCACCACACTTAACTTTCAGATATCTGAAATTGGTTAATTAAGAAATCTCTAATAAAATTCTGACTAGAATAAACAATGTCAGATTTACCATTAAGTTGTATAGTCTCCAATTCAAAATATTTGTTTATAAGTTATTTTATTTGTGTTGTATTATTATTTGTTGTATGTTTAGCATTTGTTTCATTTTTAAATGAAATGAATAATTTTTAAATTAATAAATAAATAAGTTCACTACACTTTAAGTTAGTTTTGCTGAGTCAATATTTGTTTTCAAGATATCTCACTTTTTGCTCTGGCTAGTCATAATTCCAATTAAAGATATAACATTTAAAAAACATCATTATGCAAGATGTCTTAAATGAATTATTAGATAACAGATGTGTAAGATTTTACGAGTACGATTTAAATTGAAGATACCTTGAAAGTAAATAATGACTCGGCAAAAGTGTCTAGAACTTTAAACATGACTAGTCAAAATTTCCAAAATGCCCATTAAGATATCTCCAGTGAATTAGTTATATCTGAATATATTTTCAACTAGACAGCCTTTTTTTTTTTTAGGAAATCTTGAACATTTATTTTGACTAGTCAAATGCCAGATTTATGAAAACCTTTTGGTGCAAAGTTTCTAAGGCATTTTACTGAGCCACTAGTCTAACATTAAAGGGATCCATGATTAGTTGTAACATTAGACTTCATTTGATAAACATATACTTTAACTGTAAAATAAAGACTGTAAAAATACTGTAGGCTGTTTAGTTGTTATAATTATTAAACTAAAATTTTAAAAATGTATTACACGGACGGGGCCATTTTATTTACATGCAAAGCATTCTGGGTAAATGATGACGTGGATAGCTCATCGGTGCGAGGCTGCTAGCGAGCTATATCCACCCTGAAGGTTAATCTTGGACAATATCTGATGATCGACTCTTTTAAATGAAACCAGAGAGCGTTGACAGAGAGGAGAAGGTAGAAATGACTCAGCCTGKAACTGAAAACATGGATGGAGGACAACAGTTTAGCTTGTTAGTTTGTTGTGCTAGCGCCGAGCTAATACATATAAGGCAATATAGCGTCAGCGCTAAATCTTACAGGCTAAGCTGAGGTTCTTCTTCCTTGAAGCAGCTCTGTTGTCCTCCATCCATATTTTCAGTTACAGACTGAGTCATTTCTACCTTCTCCTCTCTGTCAACGCTCTCTGGTTTCATTTAAAAGAGTCGATCATAAGATATTGTCCAAGATTAACCTTCAGGGTGGATATAGCTCGCTAGCAGCCTTGCGCCGTGGACCTATCCATGTCATCATTTACCCAGAATGCTTTGCGTGTAAATAAAATGGCTCTGTTTGTGTTAAAATATACTTTTAAAAATTTACAAAACTTAACAGCCTACAGTATTTTTACAGTCTTTATTTTACAGTCAAAATAGATGTTGATCAAATAAAGTCTAATCATGGATCCCTTTAATTAGTGGCCTGCAGTGTCAGATCAGTGCAACTCAAATTCTCATGTTTTTAACATGATTTTTTTGTTTATCTCTGCAGCTCAACATGAATAAAGAAACATATTTAATTTAATTTGTCTATCATTGCAGCCTCACAAAATCCTTCAGGCAACTGTTTGGACAGTTCAGTGGCAGCAGGGGGCTTTACACAACTTCTTATTTCTCACATCTAAAAATTTTATTTTGACTGCTCATAATTTTGTTTGAGATATCTTGAATTTGTTTTAGGGATGTGTGGCCCTTCAAATGATGAAACAGGTGACTCCATAGATATCTTAAAAGGCATTTTGATCCATTAAAATGTAACTGAAGGAATCTTGATTTGTTCTGACGAGTCAGAAATAAAATGCAGGTATCTTAAATTACCATTCAGAATAATCAAAATATAGTTGTTCCTTTTTAAAACTCGTTTTTAGATATCTAGAATGTAATTACAGTCAGACAGAGACGATTTTATGTTAAAATGGCCTGCCATAATTTAAAATTTCCAGTGAATAATGATTTTTTTTTACTATTAAAAAAACTCCAGGCATAACTTCAAGTAGTTCATGGAAGTTGAAATCTTTCGGGATTAATAACGACGCTCACAACACTTTTCATTATGCTTTTATGAAAATTAACTCGCTGGTTTGGTTTTATTACTGTTAAGAATCTGCTCAGAAGTAACCAAACAGCCAATCAGCTCTCTGACGGCTGGATCTGAGCAGCCTCTGAACACAGCTCGGAGGATCTCATGAAGACATCACAAACTCACATCCTGCTTCCACAGTGGACCCCCTCAGGACACAGAGTCCACTGTCCACGCTGCAGGACACAAAGGAGGAAAACCTTCTTCCCTCACTGATTTATACTGTACCAGAGTTTAATCAGAGCATGCACCTTGCATTTCATAACATGCATTTAATAAGTTTTACTCTGCATGATTCACATGCTGTTTGTTGTTGAGTATTGTTTGTGTCCAGAGTTTTTATGATGAATGTTGTTGCCCTTTATGCTTTTGTGTCATATGTTGTTGTTGTTTTTTTACTGCGAGTGTTCATGTCCATCAGGTTGCACTGCAAGTCTGTTTACATCCACTGAGTTGTTAAAGCCCCGTCACACTATAACATTTTAGAAAACCCATGCTAACTGCTCGCATTACAGAGCATATGTTGAAGGATAAAATTTATTATTTGTTTAGCTGAATGTTGTTTAAGCTTAAATGTTGTAATAGCCACTAGAGTACATTCTGAGCTTCCCTAAAACATTTTAAAGGGGACATATCATGCAATATCCATGTTTTTAGCCCTTAAATACATTTTGTTGTGTACTTACAGTCCATGTTTTACTTGTCTCCCTGCTCCAATGCACCTGCTACAGTGACTGAATTACCTTTTCAAGTTCTGCAGCAGCCTATTAAATCACTTATTTACTCAAATCAGGTGCGCTGGAGCAGAGAAACCTTTAAATATGCAGGATGGAGGAATGACTGGCTGGTTTTGAGCAATGTTAGATGTTAATTAAGGGTCTGTGATCCTCAACAACTGGTTCATGAGATATTTTGCCACACACACACACACACACACACACACACACACACACACACACACACCTCGACTCACTCTCCTGCTCTTCTATAAATAAGTCATTTTTT